TTTCAAAAATAGAATGGACAACCTCCGAGACACCAGAAACTGCACCACAAAATCTTAATCCTCAGACCACAGGATTACGACTCACATCTCACAAGGCCACTCCATCGTGGGTCCTGTTTTATTTGTTTTTGATTTGGTTGCTACCATTGTCTCCAGATTTCAAGCTTCTCTCCACGCAGAATAAAAGACCATTGAGGAAAACTGCATAATGAAGAATTAGAAGGGTAACCTGCTTGACTTTTTCTGTTCAATGTAGTACAATTTAAACATGCAAAATTCTACTGGCATCAGCTTTGCGGTTAACCAGTTAACCTCTTACATCCCTAGTTTAAAGGAGAATCATGGTCACAAAATGGTGTCGCTCTTCCTGCTGGACTCCGCTCTCAGTCCATCTGATTTCAAGGGACACATGAAAAACAGGGGATTCATTTTTAAGAGTAAGTTTCCTCAAGTTCCCCCACCACAGTGATTCTCATGCATGAGAGAAACCTGACAAGTAGAGATCTCCGGAAGGTGCTTGAATCACCCACAAAGCCAGGCACCAGAGAAAACACAAGAGTTCACACTAACACAACCTTAAACTTGTTAATATCAATATGGCTGATTCCATACGGATTTTATTTTTAATCTGGAAAATGTGCTTGGGACAAAACGCTTATGTCACACTCCAGCACAAAGTAATTGCTCTGACCCCTGAGTCAGACAGTAGGCTTGGGGAAACAATAGTTTATAAAAGAAACGCTGACACTGTCTTATCCAAAGCAGCAAAAAGAATGTCACTGAAATGAGCTCACTGTGAAGAGTCTATTCTCAGAAACCTGAATGATATTCCAATAGCAAGGCATACATCTACCGGTTCCCTTTGCAGGCAGACATAGGATATGGACTCATTTGTACAGATACGGTGTTAGTGTGGAAAATAAGGTACTTCAGCCAAAGGTTAGAGTGACCCCTTATAAGGGTGCAGTGTGCATTTATATCTCCATTCACTGGAGATTTAAACAGAAATGTATAGTTACATTTATTGGACCAGCATGGTTCTTTAAAAATAGAATTTGAAACCTTCAAGCAGCAGCAATGACCTCACAGTCTCCTATGATGCAAGCTATTGAAAACTATCTGCAGCTGGAATTGGAAAGCAGGCCTAATCTGTTCCCTGTATATCCATAGCCAAGTTTCGGGCAGACCTTGGCCTCCTAATGTTAAGCATGGACATAGGATTGTTATGGGAAAAAATGATAACATCCTCAACATGTAAACAATTATGCAAAGTTCCATGGAATGAGGCATTTTGCAACTGTGTAGCACAGAAGTCTTATGGAATTCCTGAGCCTAAACAAATATATTATTTTTTCTATAAAATCCCTAGAGATTAAACCAATTTGAGAACACAAACCAGCCTATGCACTTTTGCAGCATGAGATACCTACACAGAATTGGATCTCCAACTCTGTATTTCTGCAGCATGAGAGGCAAGGTCTAGTATAAAGGTTGTTTCCTCTGTAACCTGAAGTCTTTAAAATATTGTTTGAGGACTTCAAGTAACTCAGCCAGTAGTTATTGGCGTACGACAAGAGTGGATGGGGAGGCTGCAGCCTGCAACGTAGAGGAGGTCAGACTAGACGATCAAGACGTTCTTCTGGCCTCAAAGTCTGAGTCTATGAGAAAGTAATAATTGTTGTCCCTCTCACCATCCACATTTTAATTATCCACTTTTAAAATATTACTTTAATTTATAAACAACACTGAAAAGGTGAATACTGTAAAATCTACTCCTACCAATGCCAAATTTCATTGGAAACTTTGTTGGTTTTTTCATACATGTAAGGTAAGTATAGTGCTTTGTTGCAGATACTTATTTTCACTCTCTAAAAGTATAAAACAGCATGTGCACTTACAAACAGGATAACAAATGGGGGGAGGGACGATTGAGATTGGAACGTAAATCAAATGAAGTAATACAGTTCCAGATTCTAGCATTAAAGTGGTATCTGACAAGCAACAAGTACTTATAAGTACTAGGATATGATGATTTGAATATGGAATTGGACTATTTTGACAAACTTGGTACCCATGAAAAATAAGCTCAGCACTATCTGGCAACACCGAAAGAAAAATGGCCTTCTGGTTAAAGACACAATATCAATTTAAAATCTAGCCACTTTCAACTGAACTACAATTGCATAGGAGTCTCTCGGAAATTATTATAATTTTACAAATGCATTCTCTTTATAAATGTTTGGGTGAGTACATAATGGGAAATTAACGAAGCAACCAATCCTGCAAATACATAACATGCGATTAACTTTACACATGTAAGTAGTGTCAATGAACGCAATAGCATTATTCACAGGCAGAAAGCTTAATGAATGTGAGTCCAG